AAATATAACTAATAGAAAAAAAAGAAAAAAAATGTCTCACAGATTAATTTACTCTAATCCTACCTGAAATGATTTCAAGTGCCGCGCCTGTTGAGGATTCCCTCTTGTTTTTAACACGTTATCTGCAGATGCTAATTTAATTTGACAACAATCATAATTGTTCTAAAAGCATGATTTTCAAAGATTTAGCACGAGGAATAAAACAAAAATATGGTTAGTCGTTTAAGTTCTTTGAAATAAATCCAAAAACCTCGTTTAAAGTTGTTAAGCTTAAATCTGTCAATATTAATCTCGTGATGTCCCCTGCGACCTTATTACTTACCTGCATATTGTTAAAAAAAATACGTTTTTTGGCCTTCCTCACGGCAGGAATTCTTATTTACCAGACGACAGGTTTACAGGTCAGGGGTTGTTGGAAATGTTTAAGATTTAAATACACAAAAGATGACTTTTTCCCATCTATACATCACACCAACCATTTTGAAATATCTTACCATCCATCATTCAAAGGGAAGAACGCTATTTCCTATTCTTGGGTGAATCGAGGAGGGTATGTTGCTCACCTTTTTTTTTTTTGTTGTTGTTGATAAATTTACCCCGCTATGAAAAAGCATGTTCATTTTTTAGTTATCAATACCTGCCAGTTATCCAAATGATCAATGTAGAATCGCGTTTAATCTATTGTCACTAATGAATGCTTTTACGAGTTGTCACATCATAAACAAATAATAATAAAAATTCCATCGCGAGATTTATGTAAAATATAACAATAATACATTTTTTTTTTGAAATGTTAACATGCATACTTATTTTTAAACAAATTCAATGAGAATAACTTTTCGGCTCTTGTGATGGACGTAAAATGTTTGTCGTGGACCTACCACGTTTTCGGCTCATGATTTCTTACCGAATCATATACGATAATTAATATATAAAACCACATGTATTAAACATTCGCTACTTTTAAAACTTCAAAATTCAGTATATATTCAAAATTAAATATGGCTTTGAATTCTTGTTCGGCGATATATATCAATATATATTGATATAATAAAATACGCCAGTAATGTATTCCGAATACTTTCGTTGGATCATTCTTGGATTCACCCTCGTTTACCTTTAAGAATCCGAATTTGAAAAAGGTAAACATACGTTTAAAGCGATGAAAGATATTTTACAACTAGCTAAGATACCGGACGATGCCTGGCTTAAATAAATAGTGTTATATATGGGAGCGTGGGTCACCCCTTTCCACAATTTTGAGACGTAGCAGACGAACTCTTCGTCCGATAGAAAGATACCCGATCTAAATGCAATATTAAACTTCACTTTCGTTTGGCATTGGCTTCAGGAATATCTACCCACCTCCCCTCTCAGTTGAGCTCCCATTCGCGGCATCAAAGTTGTAAAACTAGTATTGCTGCCAAACCCGAACTGTTCGTCCTATGGTTTATCAATTCAAACTCCTTTTTTTTTTAGGTTCACCAGAGTTTCTCTACAAAAGCTCATCGAATTAATCCAGTTAATTTCTCTTAATAACTTGTGACACCAGACAAACAAATAGATAGGCAATTCTGTTTTATATCTATGTGGAAGGAAATTGACTTGTTCAAGTTGATTCGTATCAATAATAAAATTGTTAATAATAATAATATCAAAGCACCTATGTTTTTTTTTTTCAGTGGCGACCTTTGAAACCTTCCTATAACAATATTCAGGATTTACAAGAATTTCTTTTTATAACGAATAAAACTTTTAGATGTGAAAGTGACATGTTACTCAGTTTAACCTTTTTGTTAGATTCTAGTACTTACTAATATATCTCTTTCTTCTCGTTCCATGCAAGTCTTCAGGCCCCGTCCCACCAAACATGCTCCCCCTTTCAGCCGTGGGGGCGTTATAATGTGACGGTCAATCCCACTATT